TGTAAGTCATATTTATCCTAGATATGAATGGTGAAGACATAAGGACTGGTTCCTGCACGAGTGCTGCACCTACTAAACGCATCAGTGATGGAGCAGATCTGGTACAAGATAAAACTCAATGCTCAGAGCCCTCAAAGAGCAAAAGACAAGAAAAATGAATTCAATGAAAATCATTCTGAAGTACTACAATTAGTGAAAGAAAATAACTTCATTCAAATTAAGAATGCCAAGTTACAGAAAGAGGTGCTTCTTTTACAAAAGGAAATATTACAGATGCAAAAAGGAAAACTTACTACAGACTACAACCAGTACAAATAGATTTCAGTGAGTTGTGGAAATGTAGAAAACAGATTGAAAAAAGAAGAAATAGATTGTTAAAATCTAATGATTTAAAATATATACAGTATCTCACAAAAGTGAGTATACCCCTCACATTTTTGTAAATATTTGATTATATCTTTTCATGTATCAACACTGAAGAAATGACACTTTGCTACAATGTAAAGTAGTGAGTGTACGCCCGTTTAACAGAGTACATTTGCTGTCCCCTCACAATAACTCAACACACAGCCATTATTAATGTCTAAACCGCTGGCAACAAAACTGAATACACCCCTAAGTGAAAATGTTCAAATTTGGCCCAAAGTGTCGATATTTTGTGTGGCCACCATTATTTTCCAGCACTGCCTTAACCCTCTTGGGCATGGATTTCACCAGAGCTTCACAGGTTGCCACAGGAGTCCTCTTCCACTCATCCATGGTGACATCATGGAGCTGGTGGATGTTAGAGACCTTATGCCCCTCCACCTTCCGTTTGAGGATGACCCACAGATGCTCAATAGGGTTTAGGTCTGGAGACATGCTTGACCAGTCCATCAACTTCACCCTCAGCTTCTTTATCAAGGCAGTGGTCGTCTTCGAGGTGTGTTTGTGGTCATTATCATGCTGGAATACTGCCCTGCAGCCCAGTCTCCGAAGGGAGGGGATCTTGCTCTGCTTCAGTATGTCACACTACACTATTGGAATTCATGGTTCCCTCAATGAACTGTAGCTCCCGAGTGCCGGCAGCACTCATGCAGCCCCAGACCATGACACTCCCACCACCATGCTTGACTGTAGGCAAGACACACTTGTCTTTGTTCTCCTCACCTGGTTGCTGCCACAAACGCTTGACACCATCTGAACCAAATAAGTTTATCTTTGTCTCATCAGACCACAGGACATGGTTCCAATAATCCATGTCCTTAGTCTGCTTGTCTTCAGCAAACTATTTGCGGACTTTCTTGTGCTTCATCTTTAGAAGAGGCTTCTTTCTGGGACGACAGCCATGCAGACCAATTTGATGCAGTGTGTGGTGTATGGTCTGAGCACTGACAGGCTGACCCCACCACCCCTTCAACCTCTGCAGCAATGCTGGCAGCACTCATACGTCTATTTCCCAAAGACAAGCTCTGGATATGATGCTGACCACGTGTACTCCACTTCTTTGGTCAACCATGGCGAGGCCTGTTTTGAGTGGAACCTGTCCAGTTAAACCGCTGTATGGTCTTGGCCACCGTGCTGCAGCTCAGTGTTAGGGTCTTGGCAATTTTCTTATAGCCTAGGCCATCTTTATGTAGAGCAACAATTCTTTTTTTCAGATCCTCAGAGAGTTCTTTGCCATGAGGTGCCATGTTGAACTTCCAATGATCAGTATGAGGGAGTGTGAGAGCGATGACACCAAATTTAACACACCTGAGACCTTGTAACACTAACAAGTCAATATGACACTGGGGAGGGAAAATGTCTAATTGGGCCCAATTTGGACATTTTCACTTAGGGCTGTACTCACTTTTGTTGCCAGCGGTTTAGACATTAATGTGTGTTACACATTACTGTATTATATATATATATATATAATCAACTACTGATTTTATTATTTAAAAAAATATATGTAACTAGTAAACAGTGTTAGTGCTACAGTAGTATTATGGAGAGAATTATTAGATAAAGCTTGAGTTAATCTAGATTTAAGATTAATCCTAATTGGTGCAACCCACTCTAAATCTGAGAGGTAAAAATTCATTCAGTGTTAAATACAGGAGAGATGATCAGTGGTGTTGAATTTGTACCTCCTTCGTTAAAACAAGGACTGAAGTAAGGATAGAGTTTCTCAGTGAAAGACTGAGCAGTGAAAGAGTAGATATGAGAGCTGGCCTTCACGTCATAAAAGGAGACCAGACCCTCCTCATAATCCACAAACACCCCCACCTTCTCCACCTTCTCTCTCAGTGTGAGGCGGACAGAGGAACTAGCAAGAGCCTTATACTGATTCTCATTCCTCAGCCACACAGTCCAGAATCCATTCTGAGGACTCGGTGTAATCTTCCCCTTCCTGTTAATGTTCTCTCTCGCGACTCCTAATGTCCACTTAGTTTTCCCTCTGACCTGCACCTCATAATAAAATCTCCCTGAGGAGAAACTCTGCTTTCCCAGAACATTAGCACATTTATTAAACCTCTGTGGTGTATCAGGGAGATCCTGTCGTGTGTCTCCATCGGTCACTTGTTTCCCATCAGCAGACAGGACGAGTTTAGGATGAGCTGTATCAGGATCCAGAGTCACATCCACTGAGAGAAACACAGAGTGAGATGTGAGTTTACAGGTAAAAAATATTAAATCATCATCAGTGGATCAGATTCATTAGGATTTATAAAAGGATTTGTAGAAGATTAAATAATAAAACATTTTAAATGATCTCTTGTAAAAAGAGAACTTGTACAGTTGATGGTAGGAGCCTGTCAAAGATGAGAAATATAAAATGTTTTCCTTCTGAAACTTTACTCATTTATTTGTGTTTGTCATTTTTGTTCTTCAGGAAAAACAGAGAGAGTCACAGAGGATGAGAGAAAAACATTTGAGGAAAAACTTGATCCTGATGGACAAAATAAGTTCAGCGAGTCTCTAGTGATAAATATCTGGTAAGTTTTAGCTTTTGGAAGAAAACACCTTCTCTAAAGTCTCTGACTTTAAAGCATCATGGACTTTAGAGACTCTAAAGTCCATGATGGAGACAAACTGCATTTTAAATTCTTTTTAACTGCATGATTATTAATCTCTTTGACTTCTTTGTCCAGCACAACAACATTCACCTCTGACAGGCAAAGAGTTTTATACTCATCACTTTTCCTCATACATGCTGTAACACATCATTCTTTCACAATAATACATTATTTCCACACAATGTTTTACGAACATTATAATCTTTCATTTTTATAAGTGAAGCTTGTTAAAATGTCTGATCTCCACAGGATAAATGAGTCTGATCTATAATGAGTTGATGTTAATCTGTTTCTCTCCTTCCTCTCTCCTCTGAATGAAAGAATAAAAAGTATAAACATATGTCAGGTGTTCCGTTATAACTAGCTAATTCCCCCACACTCCCGCTGCAGACTCCGGATAAAGAAATAACACGATAGTTATAAAACACTTTTCTTTATTAATCTGATTCAAATCCACGATCGCCTACAGGAGCGCTCCCGAGAGGGGGAGGGATTTAATGGAAGGAGCTTGATTGCCTTTGCTGAGCCCTGAGTAACCCGGATGTTCAACTTAAATTATTTCCGTGGTAAATTTTGAAGCTGAATTTGACTGGTAGAATTTGAGCTCTGAAATTATCGGCCTGAATACAGACTTCTGAATATCTGACAACTGAATTATTCAATCTGAATTTAAACCTGAATTTAAAATATGAATCTGAACACTGAAAAAAAGAACTTGAATTTCAAGCATGTAAATAAATGAATAAATAAATAAATACAGATGTGTGGTTTTCAACCTTATATATTTCAATATTATAAATGTAAGTCAGTTTTCAGTCCCATACACAGACACACAGAACTTCTCACTTCATGAGAAAATTTCAATAAAGAAACAGAACAGACATTTTCAAACTCTCTCCAAAATAAAAGTAGCTAGTGTAACGTTTACTTAAATATCTTCTCTACACCCGATCTTCTACCAGCACTTTAAATAAAATCATTTCTCCTCTATGTTTATGTCAATCATTCTATTTACTGTTTTGTTTTCTGGTGTTTTTCAACATCAGATCATCAGGTTTCATCAATAAGCAGCAGGACGCCAGTGAATTTATTTACAGTCTGTACTTACTGTATCTACTTTACTTACAGTTTACTCAAAATGACTTACTCAAAAAAAGATAGATATGAATTCAGTGGAATGTATGAGGAGCTCGACAGGTGTGTATTGTTTTGCCTAACAGAAAATTAATGTTATTATCAGATTTCATTTCTCCCATCGAAACTCCAACACAAAGTATATACACTCCTACCAGAAAACAATCACTGAAAAATAAACAACTCATTCATTCATAAATGGATTAATAAAAAAGGCAAATCCCAAGGAAAATGTTTCTGCTCTTGGCAGCAATGTTGTTTCCCCATTTACTCACTATGGCTATAAAAGAGAAGAGGGAAAAGCATGTAGATCTCACAAAAGTGAGTACACCCCTCACATTTTTGTATTATATTTGATTATATTTTTCATGTGACAACACTGAAGAAATGACACTTTGCTACAATGTAAAGTAGTGAGTGTAGAGCTTGTATAACAGTGTAAATTTGCTGTGCCCTCTAAATAACTCAACACACAGCCATTAATGTCTAAACCGCTGGCAACAAAAGTGAGTACACCCCTAAGTGAAAATGTCCAAATTGGGCCCAATTAGCCATTTTCCCTCCCCGCCATTAATGGCTGCGTGTTGAGTTATTTAGAGGGGACAGCAAATTTACACTGTTATACAAGCTGTATCTCACTCACTACTTTACATTGTAGCAAAGTGTCATTTCTTCAGTGTTACATGAAAAGATAATCAAATATTTATAAAAATGTGAGGGGTGTACTCACTTTTGTGAGATACTATATACGTTTATACACTAGCTAATAGACTAAACTGATAAGTCAACTTACGACCTGTCTTTTTAAAATCTAGCATTTCCTCAGGTGCATGGTGGCTTAGTGGTTAGAACGTCCACCTCACATTTCCAGGGTCGTGGGTTCGTTTCCCACCGTGACCATGTGTGTGTGGAATTTGCATGTTTTCCCGTGCTGTGGAATTTGCATGTTTTCCTCCCCCAGTCCAACGACATGCATGGTAGGCTGATTGCCGTAGTGTACGAATGTGAATGTGCATGTGTTTCTGGGCCCTGAGATGGATTGGCACCCTGTCAAGGGTGTACCCTGCCTTGTGCCTGAGGCTCCCTGGGATAGGCTCCAGGTTCCCCGTGACCCTGAAAAGGAGTAAGTGGTAGAAGATGGATGGATGGTATAGAAGATGGATGGATCGATCATGGGTTTGAAATGAATGTTGAACTTGTGAGTGTGTATGAGTGAGAGAGAGAGAGCTGCAGATTTATGTGAAAAAACTGTAGGAGACAAAGATTTATTTTTCATTTCTGAGGTTATACACACACACACACACACACACACAAACAATGTAATAAGTAGAGACTCTGATGTAACTGTACTGAAGATAAAATTGTTCTTACCTGCAAACTTTTTCTTCTTAATAAACTCTATGAAACATGAATCAATATTTTATATGAATTTATCAAAATACAATTAGATTCAACAAACCATAATTAATTAATATTTGAATCATATTTACACCACAGACCAAAAGTACAAACCAAATCCATCCACTCATTTTTTATACCACTTATACTACACAGGGTCGCAGGGAGCCTGGAGTCTATCCCCGGGATAGCGGGGCAAACAGCAGGGGGCGCCCTGGACGGGGGGCCAACCCACTGAAGGACACAATCACACACACTACAGACAATTTGGAAACGGCAGTCAGCCCACAACGCATGTGTTTGGACTAGGGGAGGAAACCGGAGTAACCGGAGGAAACCCTTGAAGTGCAGGGAGAACACGTGCACACAGGGCAAAGGTGAGATTCAAATCTCCAACCAGGAGATGTAAGGCAAACGTGCTAATCACTAATCACCCGTGCCCCCACAAACCAAATAAATAAATCAATATGTAAAACACCAGAAATATATACTGCTCCCCTCCATAAAGGAATTTTTTCAATTTGCTTCGGTTTTAAATTTGTACTCAAAAATTTCACGTGTAACATGAGATTTCAGCATCTAGTGTTTATTCCAGACTTTTGTCACCTTTAGAGTCTTCTTTTACTGTTCATCAACATGAGGACCAGAGTGAGGGTGAAAGTCAAAGACACATAAGGCTGAGACACAAGAATAAATCAGTCAGAGATATTGGCCAAACTTTAGGCTTACAAAAATATCAACTGTGTGGAACATTATAGTTACTAAGCTCACCCGTTCTCTCTTTCTTCTTAATAAAGGGTCTGGTAGGCCAAAGAAGATCTCCACAGCTGATAACAGAAGATTCTCACCATAATGAAGAAAAATCCTCATACACCTGTCTGACAGATCAGAAACACTCTTCAGGAGGCAGGTGTGGATTTGTCAGTGAATAATGTCTGCAGAAGACTTCATGAACAGAAATACAGAGGCTACACTGCAAGATGCAGACCACTAGTTCTCCACAAAAACAGGATGGACAGGACAGTTTACTAAAAAGTACTTAAAGGAGCCTGCAGAGTTCTGGAAAAAGGTCTTGTGGACAGATAAGACCAATATGAACTTGTATTAGAGCGATGGCAAGAGCAGAGTGTGGAGGTGAAAAGGGATTGGACAAGATCCAAAGCATACCACCTCATCTGTAAAACATGGTCCTGTACGACTGCCTCAGGTACTGGCTCACTCATCTTCACTGATAATGTAACTGCTGATGGCAGGAGCACAATGAATTCTGAGTGCTGTTATTTACACATGGTAAAACTCAGGGGAAAAATGCTCATTATTAAAGAGTATGTGCACTTTAACCTCGTGTAACTAGTTTGAGTACAAATTTAAAATGAGTACAGAGGCAAATAAAAAATATATACTTCATCCCAAACATTATGTATCTAATTTCTCTACTCACAGTTCTTCACAAATCTGAAAAATAAAAGTCCTTAAAGTGTCACAAACTCAGATGTAATTACCGTCTTCCACTCTCTGTCTCTGCAGTTCTAAAAACAGAAAAAGTTCATATTAGAGCTTAGACATACTTGTAGGATAATGTTTAATACACTTATTATTTTCCATTGTTTGAGTTGTGTGTTGAATAAAACCAACAAGTTCACTTTATTTAACTTTAATTCTATAATACATTTTATAGACAGTAGAAATGTGGTGTTTAACACATGCATGAGGTCATATGTATAATATTATATACACTACATGGACAAAAGTATGTGGACACCTGACCATCACACCTATATGAGCTTGTTGGAAATCTCATTCCAAAACCATGGGCATTAATATGGAGTTGGCATTGCACATAATGATCTTAGGCTTGTGTGCAGCTGCTTGGCCATGGAAACCTATTTCATGAAGCTCCTGATGCACAGTTCTTGTGCTGATGTTGCTTCCATTGGTAGTTTGGATCTCTGTAGTGAGTAATACAACAGAGGAAAGGTGATTTTTATGCACTACGAGCTTCAGCACTCAGCGGCCCTGTTCTGAGAGTTTGTGTGGACCAAGACTTCATAGCTGAGCTGTTGTTGCTCATAAACACTTCCATTTCACAATAAGAGCGCTTACACCATGTTCACACTAGCACACGACATGTCCCTCGTGTCACTTGTAGTTTGTCTCTTGTGGGTGTGGAGCGAGTGCTGCTGCTGTTGTGTGTGGGTGTGTACCGTCCATTCAGCTCCAGTGAGAGTCATGACCAAAATGTAGCTTACAGCACACAGTTAACTACAGTATATTCTTTATTTATCTTTAAAATGCACTTTGAATTGTAACGTTTTATTAAAGTGGAAAACGTGAAAAATCTGTTGTTTGATGTTCGTTACATAATGTATTCGTATTAGATATTAGTAAGCTAACAGTACTAGCTATTTTTCTTTGTAATGTCTCTATACAGGTTTAATGAGAAGTCATGTGACAGGATACAATGAAACCATGGTTATGAGTTTAATGTAATTTTTTAGTTAAGCAGTACATGATACTACCTACATTGCACATAGGAACTAATTGTTATTCCAAGTGCAACATACAATTAATTCGAGAACCATTTGAGACGTTGTTTGGATTTACCATGTCATTTACATTTATGGCATTTGGCAGACGCCCTTATCCAGAGCGGCTTACATTTATCTCATTTATACATCTGAGCAGTTGAGGGTTATTTAAAGGCCTTGATCAAGGGCCCAACAGTGGCAGCTTGACGGTGCTGGGGTTTGAACTTATGATCTTCCATTCAGTAGTTCAACATCTTAACCACTGAGGTACATCATACCCAACTTACATAAAGTTGAGAAAATCTCAACTCGCATGTTACTTGTCGTGCTGTCACTGATTTTGAAATCGCAATTCTGTGAACGTGTCTTTACAGTTAACAGAGGCAGATCTAGCAGGGCAGAAATTTCACAAACTGACGTGTGGTAAAGATGACACACTGTGACAGCACCACATTTAAAATCACTGAGCTCTTTAGTCCATTCTACTGCCAGTGTATGTCTATGGAGATTGTACAGCTATGTGCTTTAGTTTATGCACCTGTTAGTAATGTGTGAGACTGAAACACCTGACGTCAGTAATTAGGAGGGGTGTCCACATACCTTTGGCCATGTAGTGTATATTAGAGCTAATGCCATATGTAAAGATGATAATTCATATCAGTAATCTATGTGAATTTATTGTAATTCCTTTCAGATACAACCCCCCAACACACACACACACACACACATTGGATTTCCTTTTATGTCTATACCGTGTATGCACTGCTTCACTATCTTACATTTTAACATGGTGATATTGTCTCCTCCAATTAAATATTCAGTATGATTTTAAAAGCACAAAAGATGTTCATTCTTACCTGCGTATCTCTTCTCTTTCTGAAGCTCTGAGGCTAAAACAGATCAAATAGTCGAGTACTGTGTGTAAATTCTATATAAATAAAAGTTTAAACAGATTAAGCAGTGTAATATAGTGATGAAGAAAATTGACAACACAAATCAGATTGAAGTTATGAAATGTAACTGTCCTCTGATGCTATTTATTTGTTAAATGATTGAGCACACTTCACAATGTGGAACATGAGGTTACAGGTCAGTTATGAGCAGGGTTGGGATGGTTACGTTAAAAATGGTACTCTGTTACTGTTACAAATTACTTCATAAAAAATGTAATCAGTGACATAATCCAAGTATCACAATATGAAAGTAATGTAATCTGATTATTTTTGGATTACTTCAAGGTCACATATGTAAAATTCAAGAGAAACTAAAATACTGATCTAAAATACTTTTATTTACGGCTTTTTTTTTTTTTTTTTAGAGCTTTAAACATTCAGTGTTTGGATTTGTCACGCCACGGCCGCCAGAGGCCGCTGTGACGCTTCATTTGGAAGGACTTTGGGTTGGGCGCGCACTTCCGGGTTAAGGGCTAGTTTAACCACCGTAATCTAGCACAGGTGTTTTGTGTGTTAGGTCTAATGATGTTGGCTATTTAAACGCCAGGTTTTCAGAGCACTTACATGTTTATCGGTTAGTAGTAGGAGGGAAATCTGTTTTTGTTTGTAGCGCTATTGTTTATGCCAAGAGGGATATGCTCTATGCTCCGTTTGAACCGAGTTTGTGTTTTGCTTTGAATAAAGAGTTCTGGTATGCATCTACATCTGACTCCACTACGTTCAGTAACAGGATTTGTTTTAAGAAAATAAATAAATGAATTAAAAGATCACTGTCCTTGTTGCAGGTAACATTACAGCACAAAAGCTAGGGAAACCATATTCTGATTTTCCAAAAAGAGGATACCTTTGGGGGGGGAGAGATTTTTTTTTTATATATATATATAAAATAATATACACACACACAATCTCACAAAACTGAGTATACCCCTCACATTTTTCTAAATGTTTGATTATATCTTTTCATGTGACAAAACAGAAGAAATGACACTTTGCTACAATGTAAAGTAGTGAGGCTACACCT